CTAAATAAAATATTATAATTTTTTGGTGACGGTACATATTTTTTAAAAATCTTTTTCGAACTAACCTGCCCAACGCAACATTTTCCGATCTCTTAAGACAATGTAAATATTAAAGGAAAATATTAGAATACCAAATGGTAATAATTTAAACCTCATTAATACATAATAAAAGGGCAATCATAGCATATATTTAATTTAAGAATTCTTTAAAATATATACATACATACACAGTAACAATTAATGAATAAATATAAAAGCGAGGATAGTTCTGCACTGATTGGTACATATCTCAAATCAATAGTTTGTGAGTTTGAACCCCCACCTATATTGTACTCAAAAATAAAAAATTTGTAAGAGACATTTTTTCTAAAAATTAATAGCTATTTTGTGTTTATTGTTTTATTTTAGAAAAATTAATTAACATGAAAATCTAGTGATGGTATTGATTGGTTGGGTGGTTAAAAAAAAGTGGTCATTTTTTAAGTGAAAAATATTCATTTCATATTTTTTTCTCTCTAAAAATTTAATATCTTTCTAAACATTTTCCAAACTCAAATTTTATAACTTTGACTTTTGATAGTATTTTAACTAATGACTATGCTTAAATTTACGGATAATGTTTATCTTAATTTGATGTATAATGTTATCCCTTATAATTGTTTATCAAAATGTTCAGATATTTATATTGGATTACTTGATTGTTGCATAGGGTCAAATCAAGAATGTGACACGCATACACTATCCTTTAAATTGTTATTTTTTAACTTTTTTTTTTTTTATTAAAATGAAAATTGGAACTTACTACTTTTCGAACACCAGTGCTGGATCCTATTCGTAGAATCAGCTCTATCCGACTTGAAAGCCTTTTAGGTAAGAATTGATACAAACTTACCAAGTTAAGTTTTGGGGATAGAAATTGAATTTTTTTTTTTCAATGTATTAAAAATTTATCATGTTGTTTTGAGCTTCTAAATGGATGAAAAACGAAGTAGATTAGCATTTACAACGCACTATCGCTCTGCAGATTGGATTGTAAAAAAGGGAATCATACATAGAAATTAGAAACACAGAGAGAAATCTGGAGAGCAGCAACTGATTTTGATTTTTGAGACCATTTTTCAAAATCGACCTTCATTTCTCCGTCTTCATTCATTCGAGAGAGGAGTCAATTTTATTCACGGATCGGACACCACCAGATAATCGGAGGCGGCTTCGGCGCCGCCTTCGCCAGTGACCATTGCTTCACGAATCAAGAGCTTAGTCGTTGGATCGATCGCATTCTTTTCGCCGCCGCCTTTGGTTTCAGAGGTATCTTCGTTGTTTGATTTTGAATTTGAATTTGAATTTGATTGTTGTTCTTGAAGCTGCTTCCGTCGTTCGTCGTTCCCCTCCATCTCTCTCCGCCTCTCTCTCTCTCTCTCTCTCTCTCTCTCTGGTTCGCATTTTGAAGAGAAATTTGTGAACACGTGTCCGGCGTACGACGGAACACGGCATCTCTGCCTTTTCTCCGGCAGAAACCACTGCGTGACACGTGGTAGCAAGTTTATGTTTTCAATAAAAGTTAAATTATAAATTTAATTGTTGAATTGGATAAAATATATAACTTCTCCTTTGATGTTTGATGATGATTTTATTTAGTGTGCAGACACTGCTTTCGCTCCTTTATTTCTTATTTCACCTATTTTTTAAAATTCAAGTCCAATTAAAAATAAAAAATAAGGTAGTTTTCAACTTTTTGTTTTTGTTTTTTAATTTGACTGAGAGTTCAAATGAAGTTGGAAAAATACTGAAGTGAATAAGCATAATTTTCTAAAATAAAATTATTTATTCATTTACTTGAATTTTTAATTTTATATCTAACAGATTTTAAAATTTTAAAAGCGTTAGATCCTTACCAAAATAAACGTTTAAATACAAAATTAAAAGTTTAGAGATGAGTTTATAATTTAACTTTAGAAAAAAGTATATATACAGTGAATTACATATTTTTGTTGGTCTACAAATTTTTATAAAAATTTTGAATATATTACACTTTATAAAATTTTTTAAATTATTGATTGCTTCAAAACTCGTATTCATCATTTAAGTGAAAAAGACGTCTTAACATTATTACAAAAAAAACAAAATAATATCGCGAATATTAAACTATTTGTAAATTAATTTTTATCTAAAATTAAAAATAATACAAGATACTTAAACAAAATAAGCTTTTTTTTTCCATAATTATTATATTGTTGTAATTCTGGAACTGTTTACTTGCACTGTTTAAGGATTATTGAAGTATGGATTTCAGCCTTCACGTGTAATGCAAGTGGAAATTGAAATTTCTTTTCATTTGAAACCAGAAAACAATAAACAAATTTCTTTTGTTTGGAAGAAATTATTAACACAATGTTTAAAATAAAGAGTCAATAGTGGAAGTTCTTCATTTACAAGAAGTTCATTCTTGACAAAGATTAAGATCCTCGATCTCTTATCAATGTAGAATTAGCATTTGACTCCTCATTTATTAGTGCATCCAATAAGTAAGAAAGGCAGTTTTCTAGATAGGAGGTAAAGGATCCGACTCGCTGCCTATCAGCATAAATTTCATCACAAAACCAATTGAGTGTGCAACCCAGCCAGATGATTTAAAATCAAAAGACATATCAATAAATACAGACAAGTAATTCCCAAACATGAGAGAGGACTAAGAATGTTTTGGCCGTATCCATAATTTTTCCTCTCACGAAAATCACCATCATGCAAAGTTGCAGATATTTACTACTTCAGAGAATTCAGAGTAACGATCTCAGCATAGAACATGACAATCAAGAGAACATGAAGAGTCCTGGCATTTAAATTCCAAAGGGTAAACCAAAATTTTAAAAGATTCGCTGATTAATTATAGCAAAATTTAAACCATTCTCAACATAGAAGATAAAAAAAGTACACTAACAAGTAAAATGTTCTGATTCCCAAAACGATACTTCCAATGACAAACCTACTAGGAGTTTTTCCCAAAGCCAAGTAGGAACTCTGGGAGACGACGCAAAAACGTATCTTAATTCATCCTTCTGATAAGCTCGTTGATGAAGTTTTCACGGTTACCGGCGTCACCACCTTCAACATAGTGATTTCTCTTCTTCTTCAAACCACCAAGAGGAGCTTTCAGTTTGAAGGGCCAGAGGAAATTGTTTGCCTCCTTAAAATGGGGTCCCACTGTCATAATCTCGTGGATGAGGTCTTCTGTGCAAATTATGCCAAATTTCCCAAGAGCCTGGAAAAAGAGGAAAGGTTATGGACAAACTTGTAGGAAATAAGATTCTGATAAAAATCAGTATGCTTGTACAGAATATAACGATGTTCGTATCAAGTTATAAACCTGCTCTATGATGGAGTTGTCAGTCAAAGCAGTTCTTCGCTTGTTGAGTTTTCCATAGCCTCTCTTGTAAATCAGTTCTCTAACACTCTTCAAATTGGGATACCTGGAATTATCAGTTCATAGAAACGAGATGAGTTAATTCTGATGTCCACTAATGATCTCAAAGAAATCAAAACGGCAAGTTGAGGCAGAAGTGCAGAAAATACTATACTTACCCGTATGTGACATAAGGCTCCACTCTGTGCAACATATTCAATGTTGCCTTGTTCACTTTCAAAAAGACACCATTGAAAATCTGAACAGAAATGGTAATCAAAAGAGTGAGTATATATATATAACAAAGTGAATTAGTTGCGACAAAAAGCAAAAAATTGTGAAAAGAAATGCATTACCCACAAAATGCACACAGTGTGTTATTAGTAGAATTATAGGTCTATAAAAAACATTGCTCAGTATAATGAACCAAATTGAAATAAGTAATAATGATAATCGTGTTTCAACATAAAATGTTTAAACATTGAATATACACAGTAAGACTCAGAAATTAATCAAGTGGCACAACCTTACTCACCATTAAACATTAAGATACAAAATCATTAAAGAAAAGACTACCAAAAATAATGCTTGGATGACAGAAGTATGACCAGGAATGAAAAAAAAAATTACGTTGTATAGGACATGGCCTTTCATAGACAAAACACAACAGTATAAACCGTCACAAGAATTCATAAGAAGTCAATTCGCATAAGATGGAAGTCTGATGGATAATAGGTTCAAAACCCAAATCCTACATAGAAGCCTAAACTTATCTTTGAAGTGTCACTTATATGTTCGTACAGAGAACCTGAAGCATGGTATACCATTCACTACTTATGGTTCTTTGATGTTTGAATTCCTACTAAATCAAAGCTACTTGCCTAACTCAGATCTTTCCCAAGAAGTGAATTCACTAACACAGATTGTGTGTAAAAAATATACATGGATATATTCATGTTTTGTATGATAAAATTGAAAATCAAATAAATGAACAAAAGAAAACACGTGAAGAAATTTTCAAATTATAAAACTTGGTAACACAATCAATGGATAAACTTGATACCTGTCTCAAACGCAGAAGCTGCAGAATCTTTCTGGTCTTGGGGTCAATGGCATTGATACTGAAAATCCAGAAACACAATCAGAACAATTAAAACAACGATTCAAGCAACCCAAAAGAAACGCTTTGGCATCAAATAACTTACCCTCGGATCCTGACGATAAACAGAAGCTTGGCTTCAGGGTCGACATAAAATCCTCCCTTGAGTTTAGCCTCGCGCTTGAGGCGAATCAGCTCCTTCTGCTGCTCATCATACTCTTTAGCATAGAGTTTAGCCCTGTTATAGATCAATTTTCTGTTCTCAGCGCTCTTCTTCTTAGACGCCTCTAGATCTTTCTTCTCAGCCAAAGCCCATTCCTCATTCCTCTTCCGCTTCTTCAACACGGACTCCGGAACCACCGGCCCTCCCTTCACTCCTTCCCCACTCATCTCTCTGAACGACGGCGCCGAAGGAAGAAACCAAACACAGTAAGAACAAAATCACAAAATCATAAAAACCAAATACAAAACAAAAGAGAAACGCGAGAGAAGGGGAAAGAGATTGAGAGGCATACTTTTCTTCAGCTGTTGCTCGAGGTTGGGATCGGCCGCAAGAGCTCAGGCGCAGAGAATGGAAGAATGAGAGAGGCTTTAGGGTTTTGTAAGGTCCCTTTGGTTTGAGGCCCAGAATATCGACGGCTCACAATCCCCTACTCAATTTAACCTAATCCTGGCCGTCAGAATAAGTGAACTTCTTTTTTCTTTTTCCTTTTTTCTTCTTTTCTTTTCTTTTTCTTTTTCGGTAGAATAAGTTAAGTTCTATAATATAACTCAACTCTGATATTTTCTTATTATAACTAGAGAGTCTTTCTTTTTGAACGGTAAATTTTGATATGGAAATATTAATAAAATGTGGATGCTAATAGATATGTTTTTTAGAAATTATGAAAATTTTCAATAAATATCTTTTAAATTATTAACATCGTTATTTCAAAAAAAAAAAATTATTGATATTTTTATATTTTATCGATTATTTTGTGATACTATAAAACCTCCGTTGAATCCACAAATAAAAACATAGGAAAATATTATAATATTAAGAGAAATTTAATACCCTAGTTTGTACACATCACATAAAATATATTTGTAATTATATTTTAAAAGGTATAAAATATAAATCTATAAATGGGATCTTCTGACTCAAAATTTTATAAATATTAGTGAGAAATATGTGCGTGAAATTTGTAGTAAGTATAAAAAATTATAATTTAATTAGCTTTTTTTTTTTAAGTGAGAGGTATTAGTTTTAATATTTTATTCTTGTTTACATTATTTTTTTAGAAATTATTTCACGAATAAAATTCTCATATAATTTAATTCAAAAGATACTATGAATGTTAAATTAATATTTGTGATTTTTTTATATATAATCCTATATCTATTTTTTTTGTTACGTTATATATATGCAAAATTTATACTTTTAAAATAAAAAATTACACCCCATCTATTATAATTATAATTTAAAGTCAATTATAAATAATTTAATTATTAAATATATCATTAAAATAATATAATATAATACCATTAAGAATGATATTAAAAAAACCGTATTTTTTCACTTAAACTTTTACCTCCTACATCTTATACTTACCTTATTTGATTATCTATCGACTATAACTGAATTCAAAAGGACAAAAATATAATATACAAATCATTGAAAATTTCAAAATTATTATATTCTTAATTTTTAGAGGGAAAAAATGAAATGAACAAATAAAGAATAAAAAGAAAAACAATAAGAATAAGTTGCTATTTTTTTAACGATGACCAATAATTAACTCATTATTCATATCCCATCGTCCTAATCCCTCTCATCCTCTTTGCCTCCACCAAATCGCTCTTGTCCACCATCGAACATGATGGTTCCGACGAGGTGACCAAATCAATTGAGATTCTAACCCACACAATTTTCCCCAATTTATTGAATTGATCATATGAAGGAGGGTTTGTCCTTGTCGAGGACCATCGATGGTGGAAGATGAAATGGCAGCAACGTGAGTGGAGAAATTGTAGCGCATATAGTATTCACAAAAAGGATCGTGACATAATGGATCTTCATCGAAATTGAGATAATACTTTGAGAAGATCCTAGTAGAATACAAATTGGCAATTATGACGACTCTCGTTGAATTGGTGGGTGCGATGCTTTCTAGGCATGAACTCTACCATTGCCAATTCATTTTAGACTTAAAACCTCAATAATTATATGAGAAATGAAAAAGAGAAGCAGAGAAAATCTTTCAAGTTCCATAAATAATACTTGGTGATTTTTGGAAAGAGATAAGAGAAACAACCCTTCAAATTAAAGACTCAGTTAAAAGAGATTATAAAACTTTTCATATTCGAAAATTGAAGTGAGTCTATCATTTTAAAAGATAAAAAAGAAAATAAGGAATAAAGAGATTTGATGGGTGGAGAAAGAATTAATGAAGAATGAATGAGAAAGAAATACAAGGAGAGATTCAAGAGAGAACAAAATTTGATAAAAGTGGGATTTGTAAGAGTGGAAATAAAATATAAAAAAAAACAGTAAGAAAATGGGAGAGATGACAAAATTGCCATCAAATTTTTTAAAAATTAATGAGGAAAAAATGGTAAAACTAACTAAAAAGTTTATTTCATCCCACCTTCTAGATATAGATATAGATTTTTCCTTCGTAATTTCTTATTAAAAAAAAAAAATCCTCCCATTTGTCCATATTTTATGAAAGAATTGATTTTTCTTTTTCCTAAAATATTTCTTGACTTTTTTTCCTTACTGATATTTTTGAGGAATTGTTCCGTAGGTTATATTAGAAAATAGTAGCTTGAGTTTTGAGCTTTTTACATATTTGAATTTCGAGATTTTAATTTTTTTTTTTTTTGTTTATCTCATATTTGCACTTAATCATTACTATTTTATTTCATTAAAATTGTTTTTGAATTTATTGATTAGATTTGATTTTTAATTAAAAGTTGCTAAATTTGAATTCACATATTAAATATTAAATAGAATATATTCACATTTTCGAAAATCGATTTATTCCCGTATTCTTCCCCTTCAATCATTCTATGTATAACATAACATTCAACCGATAAAACAATTTCAAGTCTCGCCGGAAAACCTCCATTGCCGTCGTTCCTCTTATTTTGTACATTCTTCATTTCCAGCGTGAACTTATATATACGTATTTTTTTCCTTGCTTTTTCTTTTATTTTTTCACGTGGTCATTTTTTCTACATTATTTTTTTAATAGTTTCTTCAAAATATTATTTTCATATTTTAATTATCTCCTTATTTTTTTTCCAACATCTTTTATTTTTCCGGCATTTTTTTTAACAGTATGATAATTATATACTCAGTTATCAAATATATACTAATTATATAACAACGACCATTATATAATATATTTAGCAGGATGTGTGAGATCACATTGATCTGTATGATATACAGTAGGATAAACCACAATAACAACCTATGTGTTGGTTGTCCTACATCGGAAAATGCCAAGCAACTTGTTGAAAAAAGTATTCTACTGGCAAGGCACATCTTTTATGTAATTGTGAGCGTTTGGTAGAAGGTATTCACTGGATCCAGTGAATCTGAATCCGAATTTCTAACCAAACAGGTTTCTGGATCCATCTGATTCAGTGAATCTGAATCCGAATTTCCAACCAAACAGGAAAGGAATAATAGATTATATTTGAGGTTTAGGAAAAAGAAAAAATTATTGAGACCCCATAATTTCGGGAATTGGATTTTATGATTTTGTGTGTTTTTTTTTAATTAAAATATATATTAAAAAAGATCCATTGGTAATTTTCTTATGGATTCCATCCCTTAACAATATTGTAAATTTTTAATAGTTAAGCAAATTTTGTAATTTGAATTTCAAAATGGACTAGTTGTGTTATCCCAGTTTTTTATTCAACTTAATTTAAAAGTTAATCTACAGATTCATTACCTTTGGAGATACAGTTTTTGCAACATTAGGCCCAAATTGTGAGAATAAATTCAATGTAAAGACTGCTCGCAAATCGATTTCAAAGCAGCATGAAACTGTAATTGATGATCTATAAATCCCATGTATATACAAACATGGGAAGATGCTTATGATTCTTTCAGGGAAAAAAAATGAAATCTGTTCTACTGGTTACAATAACTAAGAAAATATATCATATAAAATAGAGTGAGCACTTGAGAGCTACAAAATGCCACCAAAATAAGTTCAAAATCGATGAGGAATAGACCACTTTTTGGAAGGACTCCTTCAAAAAATGATGATAAATATAGGGGCATTAATCCTTTCAGAGTTTACTGAAAATAGAGCACACAATCAAAAATTTTCATAAAATGGAAACTTCATGATTTGATCATAAGTGAAGAATCAGAATGATGAATCCATTCATATGGTCAATCATCGTCCGAGTAATTGAACTTTACTGAGTGAGATTGCAGATCGATAACTCCGCCCCGGTACGACCCACGCTTCTTCTTGGTCTTTTCATGTCGAAAACCCCTGAGAAATAGTAAATTATAAGTCAAGTAGCTTGTATTTTAAGTTGGAAAATATAACAAAGCTCCCTCCACGCATGTGTTTTGTTTTGTCTGATAAGAAGATGAAGGGACTCACAATATTGCAGCAGCATTTTTTCACTCTCAGAATACAAGTAAATTTGAGAGTTTCAAAATTTGTTCCCCCCTTCCCTCACCCTCCTGCCTTTTCCTTAAACAGGAACTAACCGCAAAAGTAGAAATGGAAGAGAAGAATTCAGAGAAAAAGGAAATTACCTCCCTTTAACCTGCCCAAGAACTTCTTGAGCTTTTGCACCGTACCCAGTCTCCGCACCACCCTGCACGGTTTGATAGATTGGAAATAAGAAACAAGAGATCCTGGTGAAAAATGCAGCGGCAAAAAGGCCAATAATAAGCTGTAAATCACACCTTTGCCCAATAAGAATTATCTGCAAGTTTCTCATCAGCAAATGTCACGGCATCTACTTTCACCCTTTGAAATGCATTGATGGTCTTTGGCTGCAATTATGCTGTCTATCAGTACAGTTGATTTTGGATCCAGTGTAAATGAAACTTGGGTGCAGAAGAGCAGCTATTTGTGAGATATTTAGAAAGCTCATGGAGTTGGTATAACTTAGATACACTAAGTAACAAGTTAATTATGTTTTTTTCACTTCTTTAAAGTGTCTCCTTTGACGCAGTTGTAATCCCTTTAAACCATCGAAAGTAACGTTTTACATCCAAAATATTTAGCAACAATATCTTCTGCATTTAGCATGCATATTGCATTCATCAAGGCATTTGGGTAGAAGAAGTCGATCTCTACGTAATGACAATATAAACCATACCTCAGTGGAGCCATTTGAATGTTTCTTCATAGCTTTCTTTGTAGAAGTTCTCTCTGCAGTTTTCTCAACATTCTCAATTGTCTGCTGAGAAAGCTCATTGCTTGTGCCCCTACTTCCAGCATTTACATCAGTCTCCACTGAAGCATTGACTTTTGTGGACTGCACGCCATTATTGCATCCTTTTGAACCTTCTAATTTTCTGCGTTTGACATCTTCAGTTACTTTCTCATCAACGGTATGACTGTCATGATCTTCAGAAGCCAACCTTTTTCTTTTCTTAGAGTGGTCGTTATTTTCGTCTTCATGTACAGTCTTGATACCACCATTTTTATTCACAGTTCCCTCTAAATTTTCAGTCATGAGCTGGTTTGAATTTTCGTCACACAAATGTTGGCCATCCTTTTTCTTCTTAGCTTTGGATTTGGCAACCTTCTCTTCAAGAGTTATGGCATTACCATTCCATGTGATGGAGTCAACAGCTTGAGAATCGCCTGAAACATTGTCATCGGAAATTGTAGCACAAGACTCTAACTTCTCTTTGTTCTTCTTTTTCTTTTTATCCTTAGATTTCTTTCCTGCCTCCTCGTGGACAGTAGTGCCTTCCGGAGGTTCTGTGCCCTTGGAATTTTTTAAACTCTCCACATGGACAGATTCTGATTTCTCCTTCTCTACAGTGTCAGCATGTGTTTCAGGAACCATGTCCTTTTTCGTTTTTTTATTCTTGGACTTCTTTTTAGGCTCCTCTTGTGCTTCAGGAACGTTATCATCAGCAACCTCCTTCACTGTTTCTACATTTACTAGATCAAATCCATCACAAAAAGAGATGTGCAATTAAAATCAATCATTTCGTGTGGTATTAAAAATAAGAAAAGTAAACATAGCAAAGATTTTTAAATTGTAAAAGTTAATAAATTTAGAGAAGGTAGACGACATGAGGATACCTTGTTTATTTTGAGTTGTGATGGCTTGACTACTGCACAATAGAATTTCAAGTTAGGTAAATTAATTTATTTCCATGGAGATGGAGATGCAACATGACATTATTAGCATGGAGATGGATTGTCCGCATCTAGACAACAACCAATGTCACAAATACTATCACTTCCAACATAGATACAAAAATCTAGGGACATCTATGATGAAACAAAATGGGAACATTGATTTTTAGGCTCTGCAGACCAAGCAATTGCTTTGAAAATAAGTTATCTGTAACATCCATGATATACATGCATTACCATGTAAAAGCATGCTTTAGCAGTTTATACCTATTCAGAACTGTATTCCTCAAATTAACAAACAAAAAATTTAAAAATAAATAAAAAGAAGAAGAAGAAGAAGAAGAAGACCGAGCCATACAGATTATTTGCAATTTGTTAATTTTCTTAAACAGCATTATACAGCAAGCTCAAAACAGCATTTAGAAGGGCTATTCTACTAGGGATAATCAATAACTTGACTCATATTAACTAAAAAAAACGTGAAACTCAACATACAAGAATCGGGAGAAGCTCTGGTCCTACCATTTCTTTAAATACTCGTGGCACATTTCTTCCAGACTAATCAAGAAATCCTTTGAAGAATCCTTCTGCACAAATGGCAACAAAAAGGCAATTGTTTCAACATAGATGATGGACAAAATTAATTTTCGAAATGAAAGAGTAGTAGGAGAAAAATTCTTGCAACAGAAGATTCATTAAAGGGTGGAGAACTTAAATATTGCGACCAACCAATTTCCAAAAACCAATAATTTTGCATTCTATTGACAAAAAAATCTAAGCTTTCATTAAGAGAAATAATACACATGGTTAACTAATATGTACATTCTCTAGAAAACCAAAAAAAAAAATAAATATATATATATATATATATATAATATATATGTATATTCTCTAGGCAATGATAAGCTTTCAAGAACAGTATCCCTGCCAGTAGAGAAAGCGAACTCTATAGTCGCACTCCACAAATGAAAATAATTTAATTTAACTTCTCCATTTAGTAACTACGCACAGCACCTTCTTCTACTTAGATTTTACATTTTTTTCAATTCGTACCCAAAGAAAAAAGTCTAAAACTGTAAGAAACTTCCACTCTTAAGTTCTGGGAGTACAAAATTTTGCAGCACTAAAGAAAAACAGAATGTTATTGTAAATAACTAACTAACAGTAAACTTGTTCGATAAAACTTGAACACTGTCAGCAAGTACAAGAATAAAACATAAAACATTTAGAATGAGAATGCCCATGACTAGAATTTACTCCCCAACTCCATTCTACGGAAATCTATTGCATGATTCATAATGGGCAACCAATGAATAAAACCAAAATCAACCACCACGACCAAAAAGTTTTCGTTTCGAGAACTGGACACGTCCACCGAGATGGGTGAAACTGAACTTTCTTTTTACAGACATGTAGGAGAAAAGCGCTTTTAAGTACCGAGTACCGACCTCAATCTGCGCTTCGGAGCGAAACTTTTTGAGGGATTTGGAGAAGCCATTGCGCTCCAAATAGAATGCTACGGCGTGAAGAAGAAGGGTCCTCTGCTCCGGCTCCAGGGATACGCCTTGATCGGACTTGGGGGTTTCGGCGCGGGCTTTTCGCGTCATATTGGTTTGGGAGAGAAGAACTTGGCGAGGCTTCAATGCCAGAAGAGAAGGACTTACAGAGGTCGTTAGGGTTTGGGACATGCGCCTCGTTACGTTGAAGAAGGCTGCTTCATCCCCGCTAGGGTTTATGAGTTAGGGCATTTCCTTTTCAGGGTTTTCCCTCGTTTTTTTTTTCTTTTTTCTAATCGGATAAAATTTCCTATGTACTATAATTTGATTCGACAATTCCAAATATACTATAGTTATTGAACTCAAAAAATACACTTACATATACTAATGTCTCTATAACATTTAAATGTAGAGGTTTAGTTCGGTTTCTTTTTCTAATATTATTGTTTTTTGTACTCTAGATTTTTGTTGATTTCCTCTCAAAACGTCTACTTTAGTTCGACCTTCTGATCGTACTCGGGGTTTTACTATGTAAAATTTTATATATAAGAACCAAAATATCACTTTTAAGAAGTACAAATATCAAAACGAACAAACACATTGAGATTACAAGACTCAGACCTCCGAAACATTTTGAAAGGGACTAAAATAGTATTTAAACTTTTTATTATATTTTAAAACTTGTTAGTTAAAATATTTAGATGTAACTTTATGACATATGAAAATGAATTTCATTTATCAATCAGAGTCTAGCTTAATAGGTTACGATCCTTATGTCCGATTAAAAGATTGTGAGATTGAATAAAAGTTAAACTTTTAGATGAACCAAAGTTCATGTTTTAACTTGTTTCTATATGTTAAATAGTTTACCGTGGACAATCACAGCTCAAATGATCTAACTTTCATAAATCTGTGCAGGGTCAAATTTCATACTTTTGTTACCTCCAAATTTCCTAAGTTTGTACTTCAACCAGATAAAAAAAAATACATAAATAGATTAGTATTCTCACAGTTTATTAATTAACAAATCCGTGAGGTACAAATTCATGTTTCTGAGATGCAATCCGCAGAACAATTATTTGGTGAGATTAAGATGAAGACGACGATGGAAATGGTGCATGGCGTTCTCGACCGAAGGAGCGTATCGGCCGAACTTGTAAGCAGGCGACTCGAGGCCCCTTTGAACACCCTCACACAGAATAATGTCTTCATTCTGACAATAATTAAATTAAAGTTGTAAAAGGTAAAAGTAACAATTGATTCAAACACAAGACAAATGATGAAGATGGAAAGGGGGAGAATTTGTTGGCAATACCTGCACTCTTTCACTGTCTTCCAAACTTTTTTGTATAAAAGAGTTGTCATTCTGGAAGTGAAATCAAGGGAGAAGACAAAATAGTAAAAACCCAAATGAACTGAAAATCATTTACAACACAAAAGCTCAGGTTTTTCAGAATTTTCGCACAAGCAACGGCTGGTTTCGTTAACCGAGTTATTGATCGGGAACTTGCACACAGGCAGAAAGAACTTATTGCATAACCATCAGGCCAAACGACTCGAAATTACCTTAAAGGGAGCTTCAAGAAAGTAATCGAATACTACTAAACATTTTCGAGGTCCGAGTGGGAGTACTAAATTTGTGTCCATCCAAGGTCCATACCTGTCATAGAACCCCAAATTGATGAGACAAACGTTCAGCAGCAGAACAACTAAAAAATAAAGATCACACAGTGCCCACCTATTTATCATGAAGTTTGGATATATAAAAGCATATAGTGCTTCTGATCCAAGGCGACCATAATCATCGACTTTCGGTTCTTCGCCGCTGTTACAACTTTGAATGCTAACAGTCTCAAATATCTACATCACGAGTTGTAATCACGTGACATTGATAATTAACAGCAAATGAACAACTACCATAAATCTGCATTTTAACTTTATATGAAGGTCTTTCAGACCTTAGGTGAAAACAGAACAATAGCTTATAATCCTAAAGTAAACAGATCCTAAAACAGCAAATGGCATGAAAGGAAATTGCTGTAAGAGTAGCTGGTAAGGAATTCAAAATAAACAGTGGTCATACTTCAGTCAAATAAGACTCGAGCTTGAGATTAGATGCGAGCCCTTTATGCGCATAGGGAACGTGATATCCTCCATCTAAGTAGTTGTCACAAAATACCTGCAAAAAAACCGACGAGATACCGAAACTTTTGGTCATCTCTCCCTTCCTCTCTTTTACTTATATTTCTTTACTTAATCTTATTTTGAACTGAAACTCTTGGTCAGTTTTTGGTAACACTAGAACATTTTTTTCTAGAAGGATAAACTATAGGAGTGCATGCTCTAATCGAAGAATGAAAGTAGCATACCTTCCAATTACATTCGATGGTGTATTCGCGTCGACAAACGTAACTTAACGAAGTATTGACTCCATTCAAACTCAGCACATCTACACAGCTTCCAAGCCATTCACGTGCTACTTTATCCTCGTCAACTTCCTGCTCAGATGGTAACTCTTTATCCAGATTGAGAAGGACGAAAGGACCCCATGTAGCTACCAGTAATGGTATGAGCCCAAAATCCTAATCTCCATCAATAGAAAAAGTTAACCAATTATTAGTCCATTCAGAAACACTGTATTAAAATGGTTGTCAGAACTGTTATCACTGTGATATAAGGGCATACGTTTACATCAAAGTTCTGTATCCCTTTTATTCTAGTCGCCTTAAGCAGAACTCCATCCAACCCGTATGTCCATCCCTGCACAAAATATGAAATAAGGCTGTTCAATTAATAATAATGTATAGATACACCATACACCTCGTTATATCTCAGAATCAATCTTACATCCTAGTTATACTATAATCTTTTATAAAAAGGTTTACAATGCATTGACCTGATGTGGTTGAAGTTAAAGTTGAGGACTAAAAACTAAATCTGCTCAACAGGAAAATAACTGAAAAGGAAACCAAAAAAACTCCCAAGAAACTTACAAGAAGATATGCAAGTGAACTCACATGATATGGACATACAAAGCATGACTTTTTCCCACTTCCAGAAGCGAGAAGTGAGGCATGATGGCGGCAAACGTTGTGAAATGCACGAACCTTCCCGTTATTATCTTTACACACCACAAACTCAACATTACCCAACCTGCCATGGTCAAAGAGACAAAGACCCAACAAATTTCATGGACAAGCTATTTGATTCCATATCTAAGACTCAGAAGGCATTACAAATGTCAACTGACTCAACTTCATATTTGGTCTAATCAATCTGTGGAAAATATGGACAAACTTCTGGTATTTGAAATAGTTTTATTTCAACCCTTTAGATTTATACCATAAGTAATAAATGGTAGATGACAATTAATCACACCTGCCTGTGAAAAAGTCATGGGGATCTTTTAATTGTTCAACATATCCTGACAAGCCAATGGCACAAGAAGTTGATGATCCATGCATCAATATTGTGAGAGTTATAATCTAAAGAGAGAAAAATAAAAAGAGCAGATTGCATTAGCTGTAGAGCAAAGAAGAGTACAGAATTTCAATGGGTTTGGTCTGCCTTGAGTGCATGAGAAACCCCATAACAAATTACTCCATCAAACAGCAAAAACTTCCAATTTCTCAGTTAATGAAAAGCAGAAACTATTCATCTCAGCTTACTTTCCTTCTTGACACTCAATTGAAGAAAAATGTTACTAAGTCAACTCAAAGTCACCCCAAACCCCACAGGAAGGGGGAGTCAACCCATGGTCGTTCTCTTTCTAACACTCAATGGAACCATTGTTTTCTTTTCTTTTTTCGTATATTTTCTTCCGGGTTCAAATCGTAGATATTCAATGAAGATTTAATTATCTTTCTAGCGTAATGCCACAAGAAGGAAATACTAAATCCACAAAAAGGACTTAGGTGGGAGAGATTTAAAGGGATTTTCCATTCTAGAGAGCGCAGATTGCAGCAACATTTAAACCTTAAAATTTATCGTCTCGATTTACATATACGATTAAATAGAGCGGCAAAAGACGAAGAAGAATCTAGAGATGGAAACGAAAACGAACCCACGGCCTGCCATCCTCTGTAGAAGACACGATCGAGCTCGAGAGTGAAAAAGGAAGGATCAGTGTACCAGGAGCTGGGTGGAGTGAGGGCCTTCTCTAGGGGAATTTCAGGGTCGAATTCATGAACGAGTTTCTGAGCTTCAACGAAGCGAGAATCTGGGTTTCGAAAAGTGGAAACCGCCGAGATTGGCATTGAAGGACGATGATTGATCGAAGGCGTAGCGATGCCAGGAGGTTGGAAGAAGTGAGTGGGAATTTGCTTGATTATCGTCGCCATGGATATGCTATGCCCCGAGTTACTCTGCAATGCAAGAGTGTCAACGATCAACGATCCTGGTTACCAAAATTACTGATTTTGATTTTTGCAGCGGATGAAATTTTGTAGGTTTTTTCTTACTTTTGTATTTGCATTTGAGTTTGGATATTTGACATGATTATTGTTTTTCTTAGGAGGATTTAACTCAACCTTTTGAATAGTAATAAATTTTTGATGCATATCAGAAACATGATTGTGGTATTTTATTAATTGCTTAAAATTTCAAAACTGAAAATTTTATTCAAATTTAGAGTTTAAATTCATGAAATTTAAATCTCTCACAGCTCACTTATAAGTACAGGTACACGTAAAATTTGAACGTTTCCTTAAAAAATAGTATTTTCCTTAATAATGTTAATTACGTAAACTTAAGAGAATGCTTTGGAAAAGTAGAATTAATATTTGAATTTGTTCACGACCCTCCATATTGCCAATTTCGTTTACATCGCCCTCATTTAAATGTTTGGCATTATGCGTTTTAAACATAAACTCACAATTTTACTTTTGAATTTACCCTAAATACTTCATATCAATGTCTATGTGTGTGTGTATATATATATATATATATATACTTCATACCAATGTTTTATATTTTAGGCCTACCAATAAAAATTGTTGCATTCAATTATATACCATTGTTATAGAGAACGATCCGAAACGAGATAAGAAATTGAAGTCCGAGATCATCGACTGGGGGAAATCGACCCGCAACGTAACAGGCCAGCCCAAAGGACGACCTAGCACCGAGGTCGTCATGGCGCCTCGGCGTCGACCCCACCTCGACGCCCGAGGCGCCTACTTCTCAACAATCGCCTTTGGGCCAAGATACCATGTGGGCCTCCTTCGCTCGGATCTACATCAGGAAGTTAAACACACCTATTCGAGACCGAAGCCGATCATTGGGCCTCACAAATCCAAATTAGGGCTCAACTACAAGAAGGTTCTTGAACCACCCTTACAGTTATAAATAGCAGTCTAACCTAGAAAGGCAAGTGACATATCATAGCTCACTATTTTCTCAACTCTTATTCACTAACTTAGGCATCTGAGCCCGTGTGACTGAGGTCACACCGGTTTAGATTGGTTTAGTTTTGTAGGTATCGGTTCCCTTATCATCGAGTTAGCTAGGTGTGTGCGAGAAGAAGAATCAGATCAAAATCCACACATCAACGACCATAAATCTTCTCATACACGTGAAGGTATATTTGGGTATTAAATAACTCTTTAATAATTTCTTTCAAAAAAAAATCTTTAATAATTATCCATGCACCTTCCACATTTACTATTTTAAACTCTATTTTTTGAAAGTATATATATCTAAATTTCTGACAAACAAAAATAAAAAAGGTAACTTCTCAAAAGTATGGAGATTACGTTTTGAAAACATACAGGCCACAATGAACAAAAATTAGAAATTATAAAATAAAATATAGAAATCAAAATAAAAAAAATACAATAAGACCAAAATAATATTTCAATTTTTTTTTTATAAAAGTTAATCAATAATATATTTAAATAAGAAATAAAAGAATAATTTTTGGATTGTAAAATTTTTACAATCTCGTATTCAAAATTTCAATTTAATTCATTGTCATAACTCTCAATAATGGCCGACACATTTTTCAAGTTATGATTGCAAAATGATGACAATAAGGTTTAATTTCAACCCTTTCATAAATATGAGAGAGTAATTATTTAAATTATTGTTTTTCTTTTAAGAACTACCCATTTTTTAAATGATATCATGTCCATTTAAACTATGTCCAAATTTACTAGAAATTAATTAAACTAAATCTATCAAATAAAATTAAAATTTTAAAAATACGGTTTTTAAATTAATCGTCATCCTAAATAAAAAAAATTAATTTTCGCAAACATGAGTTTAACTCAATAGTAATTGACATCTATCTTCCATGGAGATATTCTTCGAGAGATTCATATGGTTGTTTGATTTCCCACCAAAATTGATCGACAAGCTTGAAACGACATCAATTTAATTTAGAATAATTAATATTTCATTACGAGCTGTCCCGTTGCATTGTTCATATGTGTTTCGCTGGCCAAATATTCCACCATAATCAGCACAATAATTATCATTATCTTTGACTAATCTATTAATTTCCACGTCAAATTATTAATTTGTTCGAAAAGTATATCATCTTTAGATTAATTATACATTAATGATAGCTGGTTATATTTTCTTGTGTGAGATCAGAATTAAACAAATAGTCCAATCATCTTAAGTCTCAAATGGAATCAAACGATAATTAATGAAGTTAATTTGATTTTTTTAAGTACAAAGTTATCCTTATCTTTGACTAATCTACTAATTTCCACGTCAAATTATTAATTTATTTGAAAAGTATATAATATTTAGATAATTATACATTAATGATAACTTGTTATATTTTCTTGTGAGATCGGGATTAGACAAATAGTCCAATCATCTTTAAGTCTCAAATGGAATCAGCTTATCAACGATAATTAATGGAGTTAATTTGATTTTTGTTTTTTAGTACAAAGTTAATTTGAATTAGAGTCTATATGTAGGGTCTGATCCTCTTCACATCACTTGTTTGATTTGAAAAAATATCATATGCTATTAATACGCTATGTTAGTTTCCACTCATTTTCAAGATTTTACATTCTTATTTTAGATTGATTTATACCATATTTGATTTTCGTGAGAAGATATCCAGTAGCTAATGGTCTACTTGATGCTACATCTTAAGTACGTTGAAAATATAAACATCGCAACAAATTTGACTTATTATTAATGGTCGAAATTTATCTTTGATATTTAGTTGTGACATAAAAATAGTTGCTAAAAACGATGGTGTTTATACTTATTGTTTAATGTTGCATTGTCTATAATTTAATAAAAGTAGATGGTTACACCACATGTCGTGTGAATTGGAAAACAATAAATATGATAAAAAGTCATATATATTATAACGAGGACAATACAAATTAAATTGGTGACGTTGAATTGATAACATCTACCTGATTTGCATACATTCGTTTCGTTTTTTATTTGAAAGTAAATTTGAAAAATGTGACAATTTGAACATTAAATTTCCAAAATATAATTAAAATGAAATATATATTTTACTTTTTACTTTTTACTTTTTTAAGTAATTTCAATTGCTAATCTTGACTTATCTGTTATGCTTTTGCCGCCCTCGTTATTTTTCCAACAAAAAAAAAAGCATCTAATTTCTCTTTTTATTTTTATTTTCCTTACCAACCATTGGAATTGAAATGAATCCACGTCTCTTTATTTTATTTTATTTTTACTGTAAAATAAAAATGTGGGGGTGTGGGAATTCTAACCTCCAACTTCAAGCGAATTAATTAAATGTTCAAGTTGGCATTTTTTAGTACAACAAATACGAGTGGAGATTCGAATTCATGGATTATTTGTCAGAAATATGTGTCAATTAGTGTTGAGTTAAGCTTATATTGATCGTTCAAGTTGTTATTATAAGTCACATCGTCAACGGAAAAAATTGTATTCACATGCTCTTGTTACATTTATTTAGCCAAATTCAAAGTAACGAAAATGTGAAGTCTGCATTCAATCAATATAGCTAGTGATATTCACGTCAACCTAAACATAATTTGAATTTCTAAATCAAGCGTGGTAAAATTTTCTGTTTTTTTTTTAAATGACACAACTAAATACAAGCAAAATCCATAATCAATAAACTAAATTTGTAATTTTTATTTTATTTTTAATACGTTTGGTCAAAAGAAAAAAAGGTTTTTTTTCCCTCATCTGTCAACTTCAAAACTTTGAAACTTTTTATGCATCCATCGAAGTAGAAACCAACATAAATATCTCTTACTATCTCTCAACTTTTTTTTCAGTACATTAATCCCCAAACCTTTTCATACCCAGTATTCTCTTCTTATATACATATTTTGAAATTTTTAAAAATTAATTTCCAAATTAACAGAAAATTCTACGGAAACTAATCAAATTTATAATATCAATATCAAACAATTGAGTCGACATAAAAGCCTGTAAGAATCAAAATTGAAATTAACTAATACTTGAATTGATATGTTCATCACAATTTAGTGATTAAATTTGTAACTTAATATAAATCGAAAATAAATTAGAGTATTACTTCTTAAAAGTACAAAAATAAAAAATAAAATTAATAATTCACGAGAGAACAAAACTACAATTCGAAAAGTAAAATTAACATATTCAAACTTTAGAAAATAACAAAGCATAACTAAAATATATTTAAATTCAGCTCATCTAAACATAAGTTAAGTAGTTCGAATTTCCCGTATTATTTTAGAGAATGTATTTACATTCCATATTTGGAGGCAGAAAATTTGGAAATATACGTTGGCCTCTCCACATTGGCAGGGCCATATTAAAATTTAGATAAAATGAAGGGGCCGTCACGGGAAGACAAAAAGAAAAATATAATAATAATAAAATTGAATGGACTTTATTATCAAATTGCAAGATTGTCAAACGTTTGATCGGAAATAACGGTCCATTGATACTGTGGGCGGATTTTTTTTTTCTTTTCGATTTTTCTTTTATTTTTTATAATGGTTTTTTTTTTTTGGAAGAACATGTTGTTTTGACTTCAAAATTATTCCTGTTCATACGAATCCTCCAAGACCCGGCCAACAATTTTTTTAATTAATAAAATATAAACTATTTGTCTGTATTTATGTCGAAATTCTCAATATTTGGAGAGAAGAAAAGTGATTTAAAAAAATATAAATTCTTCAAATTTATTTGAGATTTCCCTTAGAGTTTGTGTTACAAGTTGAAAGATTAGACATTAATAAATTTCAATATCTTAGATTAGAAAGTGATAAATTACGATTGGAATTCAATGCTCTATTCTCAAGTTCTATTACACGTCGTAAATTTTAAATCTTTACCTTTACCAACATCGTCATACATCATATATTTTTTAGGTAGAAATCATTAAAAAAAAATGACAAAAATATAGGTTTGAAGTGGACAATATCATATAAATCACGAAGATACTAAATAATTTTGAACTCGATCATTAATTGAACAAGGTTATTGTTTGCATAAAATAAAGAGCGAATAATTTGACTAAAAAACTGAATTGGAAAGAAAGAAAAAGAAAAGAGGCATAAAAGCATGATTGGTGCTTATCCATGTGATTAGAAGTTAGAATTAGAACCGTACATATAGTACCAAATTAATAAAATAAAAATTAGTTGTACCAAATCCTTTTGTTTTTTCAATTCAAATGGTTGACTCTCTACTAAATTCAATAATTATGGATTTTTCTCCCTTTAATCAATTCACACAGTTTAATTACCATAATTTCCCTTTTTATCATTTAAAAATATCAACTCTCACTTAAATATTTTAGACTAGTAAGTGACTGATCTAACCCTCGTGAATACATGTGATTTAAATTTCTTCCCATCATTTAGAAAATATCTCGATTTACATAGGAATATTGGATTTTTTTAATCCTAGTTGTTTTATTTTTGGTAGGTAGTCCATCTGAACAAAATTTAATTGGTTGAAACACAGATATTATCGATCAAAATATCGGAAGTTCAAATCTCCATCTCCCGTATGTTATATATGTGCTTGTTACTTCAAAATTAGGAGAATGGGGTTAAAGAGTAAAATTTTATGTGGGTCACGGACAGGAAAGACATTTCCTATTCAGCATTGCTCTTTTGTCATTCCTATATTTGAATTGATCTATAAATATTCTATTTTAAGATTAAAAATAAATACTTTTAAATATAAGGGATAAGAATAATTACGTATTGAAACAAGATTTAAATTAAAATTCAATCATGATATACATGTGCATCTAATGATTAATTGTTTGTGCCATTAATAAAAAGAAAACTCTTTGATATGCATAGTATCATATTGAAAACAAGATTTTTATTTTTATTACTTTTTTTTGTTATCGTCATTAATTAGTTTGATTTTTATCTTACCATACATTTAGCCACTAAATTTTAAAAAATTTCTTATAATAAGCCATGTTAACTTACCAATAAGATCATATGACATACTAATTTTTGGACTTAATGATATGCAAATAATTTCGTCAATGTAGATATTTTCACCAGCCCTTCCACTTTTATCAGCAAAAATCTATCTCGACGGTGTTATAGCGATGATTTTTCCAACGAAAGAAGTGTTTCCAAAAGCTTTTTTCGATAAATCTTATCAATGTGAGATCCTTAATATGCTCACTCGAGATCATGGTTCGTTTTCACTCATCGATCTTGGTCGAGTCCCATTTTTGAATCGGATGTTCGTTTGAACTTTTAGACTCTGATATTATATTAATATTCATGCAGTTCTATCTCAAAATTTTTATCTTTTATCTAAAGGATGTTGAAGAGAGAGAGCGGGAGATCGAGGAGTGCGGAGGCATATGGAAATGGGTTGACTTCGCAAAGTTTGAAAAAAAAAAGAAGAAAGAATATGAAAATTATTTAATTGAATATCTAAAAAAAAGGGAGAAGTTTGTGGGTCCGTTTGTGTAGAAATACGGAGTTCCGTTCTCCGTACGTCCTTTTTATATAAATAAATCCAACTTCCGCGTCTTCATTATTCACTGCTCCAATTTCTTCTTTTGTTTGGGTCTAGGGTTCAGAAAGAAAAACTAAAGATGATGTACGAGTCGCGGCATAATAATCAGCAGCCGCAGCGATGGATGAAGAAGAAATCACTAGAAAAATCCGAAGGATCGGAAAAAAAAATGGATCAGATTCTGGATTTGAGCGGCTTATCTCTCGATTCTCTCCCCAATCCCACTCTCAATCTCGCCGCCATCTCCCATCTCGACCTCTCCAACAACAATCTCCAGGTAAACATAACTCGACTCATCAAGATTTCGATATATTCTAAAATTAGGATTTATAATAGACATGATATAATGGACGATCATCAGATGATACCGGAATCGTTAACGGCGAGGCTGCTGAATTTGGTGGCGTTCGATGTGCATTCGAATCAACTGAAATCGCTTCCCAATTCCATCGGCTGCCTCTCTAAGCTTAAGATTCTCAATCTCTCCGGCAACCTCATCGCCTCTCTCCCCTCCACCATCGACAATTGCAAGTAAATAAATTCATCTCTCTCTCTCTTCGATATAATATTATATTTTAAGTTTATGCATTTAATTTGCTTCCATAACTATTTCTCAGAACAATAACGAGTCGGTTATATTTTTTTATCGATAAGTATTTAGAGTTGGATTCTCTTACTTTCATTTGATGTATTAAAAAACACTCGATTCAATTCTTTTAAAAAATAGAAAAGAACAATGTATTTTGTGATTTTTTTATATTTATTTAATTTTAATGATGGTTGTCGAGAGATGACGTATAATAATATGATTTTTTTTTTTTTTATGAAGATGGTGGCTTTGTTTTCTTTTTTATCATTAAATGACTTCAATATATATATATAAAACGCATCACCATCAACTCAAATCATATTTTTGTTTGTGGTATCTTCTTTCTTTACTACTATTTGTCAATTTTTAATGATATAGTAAGCACCTAAATTTAATCTGCTTTTTTCATCATTTTCTCTCTACAAAATGAATTAAATATTCCTTTTTCTTTCCTTTTTTCTTCTTTGTTTCTTTAAAATATATGTGAATATGTAGTTATCGACCATTTTCTTTTTCCGTTTGCTTGTTTTTTAAATATTTATTTTATTAATTTTTTTTGAGGAAAAATATTTATTAACATTTAAACTTTAAGCATTATGTTTTTTGTATTTTTTTAGTCATACCATTTTCACGAATGATTTTTAAAATCAGTCCATGATAAATTTACATGCATGTATTAAGCAAGTTCGCTAAAATTTAAAGAAAGAATTATAAGAAAAATTATGAGAGTGACCTAATTTATCATCTAAATTTTTACTAACTCACTAAATATTATGTGATACTAACTTATCAATATAGGTCAAAAATTTGAATCTTCACCTCCATGTCGGTATTAAAAAGAAATATAAGATAAGAAATCAAATTAAAACTAATGTCTAATTAATAAAACAAAACATGCACAATTTTTAATCATTAATTATGCTTATAGAATTTGCACAAGAAACTTAAAAACATAAAATGTTATAAAAGCATATTTAATTTTTAAGAAATTTAAAGCAAAAAAAAAAAAAAATCCGAGAACATTATATCCATAAGCTTTAAATTCCATCCATGACATCTTTTGCGTATGCGGGCAAGTAAATTAATTAATGGAGTTGGTTTTCAAAATAATAATAATAAATAATTAATTGATGGAATCCCAATTTCTGAGTCAAGAATATTAATTTTATTATTTTTTTTAATGTATACAATATGATTTTAAGTTTTGTTAACAGACAGATCGAAGATGGGTAGCTTTCAGAAAATATTTTATTAACAGAAATTTAAAAGAAAAAATAATAAGAAGAAGAAGTTTATGAAGCAACAGAGAAATCTCTAATGACTTATCATACATTGATCGCTTAAGAAGATCACCATTGGTTGAGTCAGCTAAATCCCTATTTTAACCATTTATTTTTTTATAGACTAAAATATAGGCAAAGATTAAATTTTATATTCGAACAAAATATCGTTTTGATTTGATAGTTATTTTTTTGTCAAATAATATTTAAGAGCTCATATGTCAAGTACTCACTAGTCACCGTTAAATTTTCTAAAATTTTTGATGAGTAGAAAAGAAAAAATTGTAGAAAGAAAGAATTTTTATATTTTTAAAAAAGTTAAAAATAGCTGTCAATTTTGAGTGACAAACACGTTGACTAGTCAACATTCAAGTATTATTTATTATTATTTTTTGTGGCCATCAAAATTACGTTAGTGTGGCTATTTAAAATAATTATTTCTATTTATTTATTTTTCTATAATCTCATATTATTTTTTTTTGTTAATAAAAATAACCCATTTGAGATGAGATAGGGTGGGTTTAATATGGAGAGAGAGAATATTGTATGCGTTTCGTTTTCCAAGTGTCACTGAAATTGTCAATGGTTTTAATAAAATTTCCATGCAATTTAATGCCCATTTTAAACTTATTAAAAACGACAAAGACGGAAAACTAGATTATGAGAAATTTCTCTCTTTTTGTTCATTACGCAACTTTCTAATATTTGACAGTTTCTCGATTAATTAAATAGTTATTGTTATTGTTATCTTTTTATTTTTCTGCTATCCATGTGTTCTATAAAAAAAAATATCGTTAATCTAAATCTAGTTCAGTAGATTAAGATATGCATTTTAATAAAAAGAAAATCAGGTATTCAAAYTCTTACGTTCGAAAAAAGAAAAAATACCTAAATAAATAAATATATATATATTTTTTAATGGGGTGGCATATTATTTTCAGTTTAGGAAAGAAAAGAAATATGCCCTAAATTACATAATATGGCAAGTTTTCATTTTGGTACTTTTAATGTCGCTTCAATTATATATGGTTGCGTCCGTTTTTTGTATAACGAATGGGGTCAGATTGTAAACATTTATTTTATTGCTCAATATCTTAGATCTCTTCACATCTTATATTAGGAATATTGGCCCATAATTATGATTTACTGTTGTTGTTTTTTTTTTATTTTTCGTAATATGGAATTTGTTGGAATTATTTGTCATTGACGGATGCCACGTGTAATGTTGACAGATCATTGGAAGAACTCAACGCCAACTTCAACCAGTTAACCAGGCTTCCGGACACCATAGGATTTGAGTTGACCAATCTCAAGAAGCTAACGGTCAACTCCAACAAGCTGGCATTCCTTCCCCACACTCTCTCCCACCTGACCGCCCTGCGCGTGCTCGACACGCACCTCAACTGCCTCCGATCCCTCCCCGACGACCTCGAGAATCTCATCAACCTCCAAGTCCTTAATGTCAGCCAGAACTTCCAGTTCCTCCAAGCCCTCCCCTACTCCATTGGCCTCCTCATCTCCCTCGTCGAACTCGACGTTAGCTACAACAAGATCACCGCCCTCCCGGACTCCATCGGCTGCCTCAGGAATCTCAAGAAGCTCACAGTCGAGGGCAACCCTCTCGCTTCACCCCCACCTGAGGTGATCGAGCAGGGATTGGATGCCGTGAGAGTATACTTGAGCGATCAGATGAATGGAGTGCACAGAAGATCCCAGAAGAAGAGGTCGTGGGTTGGGAAGTTGGTCAAGTATGGGACTTTCAACAGTAGAGGCAATGGAGTCAGTCGGGAGGAAAAGGAAGGGTTCATCATGCCTGAGTATCGATCTATCGATGGCATGGCTTCACCGAGGTACATGGGAATGTTCTCGCCACGCCGCCTGTTCTCGCCCCGGCATTCATTCTCCAAGTGAGAAAGCAAAAACTTATTTCCCAGAATATTTGAAAGATTCAGGTGAAGTAATAAGATGATGTATAGATAAGCTAGTAGTGACAAGGGTGGTGTTGTAGTTATAAGCAGCAGAAAAACAAGGATGAGAATAGGGTATGTGTTTCTGATTGGTTGATGTTTGTCTGTAAATTGACAAGGCAAATGTATACAATCTGTGTCTGTCTGATCTTTTTTGGCAACATTTATGTTATTTGCTCCACAGGTTCATATGAAGTATTGTTTAGACAACAATATTTTGCATTTTTGAAGACGAATAGCAAAATGGGAGCTGAGCCAGCAAAATATTAAAAACTCAACTCTATAATATTCAAGTGTAGGCATATTTCTTTGGATTTTTTTGTTGATGCCAAACAGATAGTTAGAGTTGACCCAGAAAACCTGGCTTGACTAAATCAACTGCCTAGAAAAAAAAAAAAAATCTAATATTGAAACCTGATCTGACTCAATTTTCATTGATTTCATGATATTTTTCAGTCGCCTCTGATTACTAAAAGAAAACACAACACACTCATAGGCTGTTCATAAAGAAAATCAGACAAAAATAGAAGGCTCACCAGTGAACCGAGGAGCATCATATTATAGAATCCAAATTTAGCTTGCAAATGCTAGGGTCATACAAGATTCGTTAACAAACCGATCCGTTTCGATCGGTCAGAAAAATATCCCCAAACCGAGCGACGATTCATGCTAATTATATTTATGTATAAATGATTTGTATCAAATTTATTATTATTTTTAATTTAATAATTTAATATATTTATAATTAATTTTTTATGGTTTTATCCATTAACTCTCATTTTTCTATACATTCAAAAAAAAAAAAAAAAAAAAAACTCTCATTTTTCTATCTAATCCTTTCTCTACCTTTCCTCTATAATTTATTTTTCTTCCCTTCTTTTTTATCTTTCTTCTTTCTTCCCCTTTCAAGTTTAATATCTATTTCTTTCTTTCTCCATTTTCATTTCAATTTTCATTTCAGGATTGTTTTCTTCCCTCTCCTCTTCTCATTCCTTCTCTCATTCTCAACTTCAACTCTTCTTTTCTCCCAACGAAAAGTCTTCATAGCAACAATATTATATATGTTTTTTTAAATGTAAAGGCCATGAGAGAGATTGAATCGGTAGAGAGCTTTGTGGAAAACACAAATTGCAAGGAAAAAAAAGGCATTCAGTTTGTCAAAAACCGACCGAGCCATCTGACTGTCGATTCGGTTGGCAAGAGCTTCACCACGTCGGTTGGTCGGTTTCCATGGAAACCGACCATATGATGGTCAGCGGGAGTTCTAGGCTAAAAACCGACCCGACCAACTGATGTACACTCCTAGCAGATTCCCCACTGAAAGATGAGTCGGGATCAATTTATGTTACCAAATGCAAGAACTAGAAATGAACATTCCACAGAATAATACACACACACACACACCATTCTCGGGTTTGGGCAATATATTGTAACAGAGCCCAATAATAATCAGACTGCAGGCATTCCCAACAACAAATAATGTAATGCAACACTCTTCACTGAAAAATCTCTCCATCTAGAGAGATTCAAAATGCACCAACCCCCACACCACTACAACCTAAATTATGACATTGGATGGAACATATGTAACTTTTAGATGAGAGATATAACATTCATTCACAATTCAAAGAGGTGTATATAAAAAGAGGTCAATGAGATGAGACACCTCCCTTCCAAACGCTAAACAGAGGGGTTACAAACAAAAAGGGGCCAAAACCATGTTAATAGTGAAAGTAGAGAATTCAAAAGAAGTCTCTGTGCAAGGCTTTGATCAATAATGATCATGAAACAAATGTAACTTACATTGCTAACATAATCTTTCATCATGGTCAAGATGCCATTTATATGATCTAATGACATACATTATCATTCTAAATCAACAGAGAATATTTTACATGGTTCAAAAGGATTTCCTTACTCCAACTTATTTGAAAGAAACTATTTGGCACTCCTTAACCAGACTGTTTGCTGTCACCAACATTAATTTAAGGCTAATGAGAGATCATACTGATAACAGAGCAATTACTTAACCCCAAGAAGAACCAAAATGGACAGTGGCATTAAACAACTAGACAGACTAATCCCTTAAACCATTTAGTTCCAGTTACTCTATGAAATGTTTGGTTCGCATCCTTCAAAGAGGTCTAATGAATACATTATCAAATAGATAAGTAGCATGAACAAATATAACTCCAGCGAAATGACAAGCTAAACAAGCTGGGGAATCTAGAAAGAACCTACAGAACAAGATGTCATCTTGGCTTAGCACTTAATCAGTCAGCTACATAATGTGTTCGCAATGCCAGCATAGAATTGAATTTTCAAACAGCATAGGAACATAGAATAAACCACAATAAGCAATTGAACACGCATAGATTCAACATGGGAGAAGTTGGAGAACCCAAACACATCAAGGCAAAATAAACAAGAACCGTGGAAATGATTCAGACAGCTTTTTTCCAGTTAAATAAGAAACGCAGAATAAAAGCCTATGGCATTAACAATGTTAAACTGTTTAACATCACATAAGGCTTCTTACACGGAGAAGACCAAAAGCTGTAAACAAAAAGTTCCGTTCCTTGAGACAAAAAGGAAGAAGATCCTAAATTTCTCTACTGTTTATCAACGAAGGTACGCGGGGATCTTGATGCGAATGAAAAGCATACTCATAACATAGGCAATAACGACAGATGAAATCCCAGCAGACGCATACGAAACCTTGACACTCTTCGCGCGATTACGATCGAGGGCAAGGTCCATGAGCACAATTCCAACGCCGCCCAGTACGAACATGAACCCAGAAGAGAGGCCTTCAATGATGTACTGGCCATTGACGCGCCCGGGGAGGAAAACGACGGGTCGAACGGATCCGGTAGCCGGGTCCTGGGTGGATCCGATACCTGGAGGCTCGACGATCACATCGTAGACAAAGCCGGAGACGACCATGAAGTAAGTGAGGAGGACAAGGGCGTAGACGGTCATCGGAGAGGGGAGGGTTAGGGTCGGAAGCTTGAGGCGGAGGCGCGGCGGACGGAGGAAGGCAAAGGGAAGAATGCGGAGGATGTGGAAGATGGGGTCGACGGAGGAGATCTGAGAATCCGCCGATGCGGCGGCGGAAGAGATCTGAGAGGAGGATTCGGATTTGGGAGGCATTTTTCCGGGTCGGAGTGGATCCAAAGATCCTCCGCTGTGAAATTTTGGGTTTGATTTGGTTTGCTACGATGCGACTCTGCTTTGGGGATTTGGATGGGGTTTCTTCTTCAATCGCGAGGGCGAGAGATTTTATTGAAATTTAGCTTTTCTTTTCTACAATTGTAAATTTGGCACAATCATCCAGGGTTCTATTTTCTTAAATCTTTTGATAAATAACCTTCTTTCACAGATATTTAATAGAAAAACCACACCTTTCAAATCTCATTTTACTTACTTCACGTTCACTTTCAAAACTTTTGTTTTAATTTTTTATTTTTTTTATCTTGTTATTTTAGTCCCTAAATTTTAAATTTATTTTTATTTAAATGATGTACCTTCAAAATTACATGTATATTAAGGTAATCATCTGATTACCTTATTCAACTTTTCACATTTTTTAAAACACATTTGAATTTTAAGCTAATTTTTGAAATTTTTTTAATGAAAATTTTCAATTTAAAATTTTATCTTAAATTAAAATTTTTATTTTTATGCTTTGATTGGATAGAAATGGATCATAATTTTTAGTCGATAAAATATATTTTAACCAGAAGGTGTGAAAATTTAAATCCACGATATTTTAATAGAAAATAAATAATTTAACTAGTTGAGGTAAACTCAAATTGATGACCGTACTTATAAGTATATAAAATAGAAAAATTTAGTATTAAAAACGTTTTTTTGTAAGAGCTTTTAAAAAGAAAAAAGAAAAAGAAACCTCAGTACTCAATTACAAATGTATGTTTTGTTATAATATATATATATAAAATTAATGGATGTTTTGTTTCTGACGTGGAAAATACTATTAAAGAGAGAGAGAGAGAATTTAAGTGGAAAAAGTAAATTGGATTTTACACATAAATTGGGAGTCTGGGACGGAAAAGTTATTCCCCGGTGGGCCTCCTCCGATTGATTGTCCGGTCCGGTGGAGGGGAAGCGCGTTAATTTCTCCGCCCCTCTCCGACAACTGCTTCCATTTTCCGCCATTAACGCTCCTCCTTTTTCCCACGTGTCTCTCTCTCTCTGTTTCCCCGCCCCCCTTTTCCCAAATTCTGCTTTTGGGTAAATTTTGCTTCCAACTCTGCTTTGTCTCTATTCCCAAAATCCCATTTGAAACCCAAGACTCAAAACCCACTGAACACTCCATCTCTCTCCCATTCATCCATCTTCTTCAAGCAAATTCCCATCGCCACACACCCACTGCCACTTCATGCTTCTTTAGGGGCGAGCGCGGAACAGAGAGATTGCCGGGGATTGGGGTTGCCTTGCCCGTGATGTTCAAATTCTTGTTTAGAAAGGATGTTCGCAAGATTCTCAAGCGCAAGGATAGTGATGCCGGCCAAAGGGGTACTTTATTTCCCCCCTTTTCCGTTTCTATCTCTATTTTTCCGTTTGAATTTTTGTGGGTTTCCCCTTGGTTTTCGGATTCTCGCTTCTCAATTTCACTCCACATTCAATCGTAATGCCACACAACTTCTTGTAGATAAGAGGGTATAAATTAAAAGTAAAAACTACCCCTCAGGCCTCAACTACGCGCTCTCGTTCTCCTTCTCCATAGCCATGAAGGGCGTTTTGCCTTTCATCACAGTGGCCCCTCACTTTGGTACTTCGTTATACTGAAATGGATTTACAGACCTTGGGTTTTTAAGTTGCCGTTGTGCTACTGCATTTGTAGTGAATCAGATCTGGACTTTTCTTAGACGTTTTATTTTTGTGATTTCTGGCAATGTGGGAAGTATTAAAACTGGTTCCCCTCTCTGAAATCATCATCATTATCTATTCATCTACACTATTATTGTCTATAAGTGGCTGACTGACTAAAAGATCCTCACGTTGTCTGTTTTCTCCCTTCTATTGTATGCTTATAGTTCGTTTATAGTTCTTTAATGGGGGGAATTTCTTTAGTACCATCTTGACAATTGTTCAATCTTTCGAAGAGTTCATTTGGTGGAAGTAGTTTTTAGTGGTAATAGTTGATTTTAGGAAGTCATTTGTTTCCGTGGAACATAAGATGAAATCAGACATCTAAGCTACATGCAGGTTGTTCAATCATGTAATCTTCGTCTTGTTTTTCTTTCCTACATATGTTCTTCGTTGAATTCGTAATCTCAGGAAGGTCGCTGGAGGATTTGCAAGGAGCATTGTTTAGCAAATTTCGCTCGGCTGAAGGTGCCAAGCGTCAGCAGCAACGTTCTTGTGGTCCTGTTGTGGCTCTTACCTTCAACTTCTTTGTTGCAGTTAGTATTATTTTCATGAATAAATTGGTTAGTATTCTCATGCCTATCTAATGTTATTACTTTACCTTAAACTTCATTGGATTTACATGTTTTCAGCTGGTAACTCTAGTGACTTTTTTCTTCGTCTATGTCTTCAGGTGCTTAAAACTGTCGGCTTTACATTTCCTATATTTCTCAGTTTCATTCACTATTTCATTAGCTGGATATTGATGGCTGTTTTCAACTTTTTCTCGATCCTGCCCGCATCTCCTCTATCGAAAACTACCCGTTCATCTACTCTACTTACACTTGGATTAGTTATGTCCCTGTCTACAGGGCTCGCTAATGTGAGCTTGAAGTATAATAGGTGAGAGTCAATCCTCTTTTCCTCGATGTATTATTCCTGACATTCCGAATGCTAAAATCAATTGCAGTGTGGGTTTCTATCAGATGGCAAAGATTGCTGTAACTCCATCAATTGTATTGGCAGAGTTTATATTATATGGAAAGAAAGTTTCTTTCTCTAAGGTAAACTACAACCTTTTTACATATAATATGCGAATTTTCGAGATACCGAGCCTTTTTTTATACCTGTTATTGAGAGGTATCTTGAGTTTCCTATTTCAGTAGCAAGCTATAAATTCAAAATTTGGGTCTGCACATGCATCTCTCTCTTTTTTTTTTTAATTTTATTTTAAGAAACGAGATATGCATTGAACACAAAAGCAAGCGCAATCAACCTAGGGGCCGGGGGAATAGGGAACCTTTGCCCAAAAGGCTACAAAACCAGAGTCTTCCAATTGTAACAAATTAATTAAAAGAAGACTGTAATTACAAAAGAATTTCTTGTGATTTGAATACTGAGGTTATATGCTGGGTTTTATCTGGATCAGGGAAATCCTCCTTATTGGAATTTATCAAGGACTAGTATTTAACTTTTCAAAGCTATGGTGCCTATTCCTTTTGATATCTATGTAAAAGAAGGAAATGTTCAATGGCATCTCAAAGCTCTACTGATGCTAAACTCCTGGTTCAGTTATTTGTATCTTAATGGTTCAATCTTTAATTTTTGCTCATCCAGATGCTAATTTGATTTTATACAGGAACAAATACATATAGAAAAATCATGTTTGATAAAGACAAATAGAATTTGTCCTAGCATTTCTTATCAGTTGAGAAAATTTAGGATTAGTAGATATAATGAGCTCAGGCTTTGTTTTTTTGGACGTATTGCTTAATGGTTTATGTTTTGCAGCGGCGTACCATTAGCCTTTATCCTGAATTATGATAAATATTTTCTCTGTTTCCAAGGTCCTAGCACTTATTGTGGTATCTGTTGGTGTTGCTGTGGCGACGGTGACTGATCTACAGTTTGATCTCTTTGGTGCTTGTATTGCATTGGCATGGATTATTCCAAGTGCAGTTAATAAGATTCTCTGGTCCAGTCTACAACAGCAGGAGAATTGGACAGCCATGGCGTATGTTAAATGCCCATCCTGCATTATATCATTTATCTTATTCTACTTCTCATGTTACATGCCGACAAGGAACTGAATCCAAACTTGAAATTTTGTCACAGGTTAATGTGGAAGACAACACCCGTCACATTGTGCGGTTTTGTCGCTTTAATACCCTTCCTAGATCCTCCTGGTGTTTTATCCTTCAACTGGAGCTACCATAATACGTTGGCTATTCTGCTGTCGGCAATTCTCGGTTTCTTGCTTCAGTGGTCTGGTGCCTTGGCACTCGGGTATGTAAAATCCCTAGTCCAAGAAGCCTATCCTTGATTCAATTCTCTTCCACTTTGCATCTTTGTGTTGTTTATTTGGAGCTTTAACATGTTAGTAAGCATGTCAAGCGCAGGGTACTTATTGAAATTCAACCCTAAGGAAGTTGTTTCTTTGATAACCTATTTCCCCTTCTCTCTATATTCTTAATTCACATCCTATCTGTACCATAAGACTAGTAAAATATTGTTAAGTTTCGTGCTTCATCTAGGACTTGTCATATGATGAAGGGATCAATAGTTAAGTGTAATAAGAACTTAATTTGGCATTTCAAGGTAAAAAGTTAAGCGAACTCTGTGTTATTATAGGTCACTTTCCACACCTTTCGAAACTTCTGAGGTAGGCTAGGAATAAAATTTCACTGATGAAATGAATTATAGAAGACAAGAGCCTGCAAAAGCTAAAGCCATAGGAATCACAAACAGTCTAAAGAATTTATTTATTTTTCTTCATATTGTATCTTGAGGTTAAATACTTAAAAATTCAAAGCAACATTCTGTCAAAGGTCTTTTGTTTAGGACAAGAACTATAGATTCAATATCATAGTTTGATTTCCATGTCTCTGAGGTTAATAAGTTTCAGGTTACCTTTGTTGCCTTAATAGTCTTCTATTCTTTTGAAAATTTTAATATAAGATGGGGTTAAATTCAAATGATTATATGTGTAAAGTTATTTATTCAATTGCCATAAGATGGAAAGATATCGTCGACCCGATTGGTATAAAAGTTCTAGGTGGTAAATGCAATTATGCAGAACTACCTAATTATGCAAACCTTTTTTGTTCCTAACTAAAATTAAAATTTTGATGCATTGAAGTTTTGTATTTTACATTTCAGTTCTATTCTAAAAAGTGGTAGTATATCTGGATACTAACCCGATGAACACCTAAATTTCAGTAATGTTGAGCCATACCTGTTCTGCTTCTATTAATTTTTAGTGTCATGAAATCTACAGGGCTACCTCTGCTGTCAGCCATGTTGTACTCGGACAGTTTAAAACCTGTGTCATTCTTCTTGGGAACTACTATCTTTTCAATGCCGATCCTGGCAGAACGAGTATATGCGGGGCATTCACAGCTATAATGGGCATGTCCATTTATACATACCTTAACCTGAGACATCAACCAACCAAAACATCTCGACAAGCCTCTGCGTTCTCGAAATCTAAGCTAAGCAAGGAAAATGGAAGCACCAATGATGAGAAGTTAGGGGAGGAGTCTGTTTGAAGCTAGGAGATGAGGAATTTAAACGGCTTGAAGTTAAGGGTACCCGTCGCGTTTCATTGATTCGTTTTTAGCTAACTGTTTTATTTTTCTGTAGTTAGAGATTAGGAATATATGCATGTCAATATCGGTAGAATGCTCAGGTTTTGTGCTTAGCCAAATCAATTTTCTGCTTCATGATCTTTTATTCTCTGCTATTTTTTCCTGACTTTTGTAGAGTCGGTTAACTATTAACTATATACAATGTAGAAACGAACTATATGCCTCATTCTTATTCTTATACAACTACTAAGCTCCTATTAAGTTATGGCATCCTCTGTTGATTGTTCTTACTACTGGGTTGTGGCTAGAGGCATTTGATCAGTGATCAGTGCCGGTGGGCATTACCAAACATGTTGAGAGATGGTGTTTTGCTACGATAACCCGAACTGAATCAACTCGTGATCTAATCCTTTCAAGAACAGAATGGGACATGGGAGTAGGATTCTTTTACCAATGGGGTGTAAAAGTTGAAACTGGATTCAACAGATCTGACTTTGCTTAGAAATGGTGAGATGAAACAGAAACTGAAAGCAGCCATGAAGAATGTGTAACATAATGGAGAAAATGACAGATTGTAACAGTAAATCCTAGGAGAAGGAACAAAAGAACATATTCAAGTATAGTGAAGGGCCCAATTCTGGAAGGGAAGTACAATTTGGTTTGAAAGGAGAGAGAGAGAGCACATGGGGCAGAGGAAATAGTGGGTGTCGGCATTGGGCCTTACAGAAAGTCTAAGTTAAACAAAGGAGATGTCTTGTCGTCTCAGACTTCACGGCGCCATATATCCACTCCACCACGTGTACCATCGTGCTTCATAGGTTCGAATCTCCACTCTTATTTTAATTATAATACTAAAAAGATACTCTACCTCCTTCAACTTACAGGTTCGAGTCACCTATGACTGTGACACACCGCTTTGTTGAACTTAAAAAAAGAAAAATACAACTTTAAGACCTTTTTAAAGTTTCGGGATTAAATAGATACAGCAAAGGAGAATTCGACTTCTCTTTTGGGTTCTAATTTGTATGCAAAATGAAAAGAATATATATTTCCAACATGATAGTTTGTACAAGAACCACATTTTAAGTGAATTTATTATTCCAAAAAAAAACTGAGCGGTGACTGCAAAGAAATCTCATCATGCATTAATTAGTCTTGATTAATTATTAATTACTTCATTTGGAGGCATCTGTTCAGCAAGCCACATGCAATCCAAAAGACAACTTTGCAATTGGAAGATATATAAAGATTTCAATATGCTCTCACATTTAATTACTTATAAACAATAAGATTAAATGGATTGTCTTTGATTATTCTTTAGTCATCTAATTTGTTTTGTAACGTAAGATTCATTGAAAAATATTATATATATATTACTTGTAGTTGAAATATTTCCAGCTCAATTTGTACTTATTTTATTTTTAAAATCTTATATGAAACAAAAAGGCAAGCACTAATTCCCATGATCCATCTAGCATCTAGGGCTGTATTATATAACTTTGAATCTAACCAAATTGTAGGTCAAAGTAAAAAAAAAAAAAGAAAAAGAAAAAATAACACTCAAAATTTGAACTTTAGGAATTAATTTGCAAACAATACATATGAAGGCAATATATTTGATAAACCATCTCCCTAAACCTAACACTAAACTAATCTCTCAGTATGCTTTCTAATTAATCTTTGCCAAAACAATAACTTAGAGTCCCAAAAGCACATAATATAGTATTGTTATTGGCAAGGCAACCAGCATTCCAAATATAACCCTGCACAAGTGCCCACAAAAGAGAGTTAGAAAGAGAGGAAATATCTCCATTAATACGAAATCTTATAAAGTTGGAAATTAAACTTACGCGGTGCTGAGTATATCTGCATGGACGTTGTACTCCTTAGCAAATACAAAAGGAACAATCCCTTGAGGAAGCGCGGCCTGTGATGAAGAACAAAAATGCATTATCAAAACGTTTAGCTATCAATGGTGTAATTTGTCCCTCTCAGTTCACCAAAAGCTTTGAACTCGAGAACTCTAAGCTTTTATGACCAAAAGACCTCAAGATCTTGCCAATTGGGCTGCCCATTACCGGCATAATTTGTCTCTCTCATTAGAATGACGTAAAACTTTAAAGATTATTAGAATGAATAATATGAACAGTTGTACCTGAACAATGGCAACATGAAGAAGAACACCACGAAGATCAACTGCAATGGAAGTTGCAGCCATCACAGCCGGGCCCGTTAAGAACCTCACCGCCATCGAAAACGTCGCAACCGATTTCCCGCAAGCTATGATCTTTGGTTGTAAAGCCATAAACAAACCTACGAAAAAAGAGTACTCGTAAGTGCTCGACTCATAGAAGAACGAAGGATAGTACAAAAGAGAAGAGGCATAAGACAAGTACCGAGACTGAACATCGCCATCCCCAAACCAGCATCAGATAGAATCGAGATCGATCCTTTAATGATGGTGGGCATTTCAATGTGCCATCTGTGATCATACATCATATCCATCATCTCAACATGTTCTAAAGAGATTGAGAGAGGGAGAAGGAGAGAAAAAGAGAGGGATTACTTGTAAGAAACGAGAGACCAAGCAACACCAAGAAGACTAGAGTAAGTGTTGGGATTTCTAATCAGCTTTCTCCACACCATTATGAGAATGAGGCGAGTCATTACTCTAGCAGGAGGCATATGCTGCTTCTTCTGCTCAAAATCTCCTTCTTCCATGTTCATCTTCTTCTGATAACTGTTATATGGAGATGATCCATTTCCTCTGAATCGCTTCTTTGATCCTTCCTCTATTGATTCTTCATCCCTGTTTTTTCTTCCGGGACTCATGTTTTCTATCACCTCTTGCAGCCCTGCAATGAATACAATACGTACTCGAAAACTTTACTCTCGTTACGGTAAATTTAATCTTTTATTCATATTCTAGTCTCTCACCTTTTGTGGCCAAGGCTTCTTGTTGGGTCATGGCGGTTCTATTGACGGCGTGTTTGAGGTTTCCTTCGGAGACAGGGGAGGCGCTGGAGCTCCAAACAAACATGTGAAGCTCCTTGTTGTTAGCTGTGGAGTTTGCAGCTCCTCCATGGCTGCTGCTGCTGTTGTGATCTTTCTTCTTCATTTGGATGCCGCTTGAAGATCCTGAAAACATGGGGTTTGGTGGTGGGTAGGATGGCATTGATCCTCCATTGAAAAGCTCTCCACTCATGCTCCTCCCTCCTCTCTTCTTCTTCAACATCTCCTCGTCGAAATTTGACGTTCTTGGTGTTGCTCCTTTCGATGACTGCACCGAGTAAACTTCACCTACATAAACGAGCTTAACGTCGTGTTAGGGTATCGGTAGGTTCAAAAGTTTAAACTGATAAGTAACTGTAAGTCTTAATCTTTATATGCATATTCTTAACACACTCTTCCTCGTTCATCTGTGGACTATTATAGGAAAGACGAAGAAAAAGACATCAAAGTTAGTCGAACTCAAGATCTACACCAACCCCATACTGAACTAAGCTTAAGTTAATAGAATCCGCATTCCACTCACTCGTGAACTAATAAACCAGCTATAGAAATAACATTGCAGCAGTTCGAACACAAAATCTCCTCAAATCCAAAAGCATAATCCGGCGAATCCGACCAAAACCAAACAAGAAGACTGAAAAAACACACAAAAAAAAAAGGACACACCTTGAAAACTATTGGTGTAGGCATGTTTAGGACTAGGAGCTTTACTAGCAAACATGGCGTAGAAATCGGTCTGGTTGAAGCTAGAAGCTCGAGGAGTGGGCTCTCTGGAAGACTGAACAGAATAAATCTCAACCCCAGTGAGATTGGAAGCTCTGGGAGTCATGGAAGTCAAAGAATTGAGACCATGAGACTTATTGAAAGAAGAAACCATGGAAGAAGCCGCGGATCTCCTGACCACCACATGGAGCTTCCCGTCGTCCCCAATCTCGGCATCCGCCTGCAGGGCCTCCCTCCCGTTGAGCGAAACGACGTCGGAATCGACTCGGAACGACGTAATCGAGGCGGCGGTCTCGGGGAACTGCTCTGTAATCAGAAGCTTAGCTCCCCTGTATTCGAACATGAAGAGCATGAGAGTGTACCAGATTATGCTCTGGAGGACGACGATCTGGACCATGAGATTGCCGGAGAAGTCGCCGTACATGGCCTTGAGGAGGGGGATCCCCATGACCAGAGTGTTGGGCAGAGTGGAGAGCGAAAACAGAGTGATCATCCATTCGAGGCTGCCCTGTTTGCTGAAGCTCTGCCACAGAAACAGAGCGAACAGGACGACGATTTTTTGGAGGGAGTCGGCGGCGATGAATTGGTAGTTCATGGCGTAGGGGTCGTTGGAGGAGATGAAGTGGAAGGAGAGTAAGGGGACGGCGAAGACGGCGACGAATCGGTTGATGCCGGAGCACTGATCGGGAGTGAAAATTTTCCACCATTTCACTGAGCCGTAGGCCAAGATCATGGCCACGTACAATGGGACAATTGCTGAGAATACATCGTAAATGTCCTTTGCAGTGATCATTTTTTCGATTTACACACAGAAGATGAAGAAGAACAGGGATGGGAAGATGGGTTTTGTATAGGGATCGGAGAAAAATGAGAGTAGAGATCCAATGGGAAATGGGAAAAGAGGAGATTTGAAAAGAAGAACATGTTTGTTAAAATATAGTTAGAAAGAACAGAGCTTGTCGTTTGAGAGACAGGAAACAGCGGCACAGAAGGAGTTGGTGCACATGAAATTCCCAGTGATCCACGCCATTATATTCATCAACACATTTTTCTTCATATTTTAATATCTTTGCTGGAATTAGAGTTTATTTATTTTTTTCTCTCTTTTACTTTAATCTTCTCTCTGCAAAAATGCAGTTATCTTCTTGGGGTTTTGGAGAGAGAGACAGCTCCCAGGCTCAGCCATGCAGATTTATTTTTATATTTATATTTCAAGATACACTCGAGATCATATCATTTAATTCTATAATATGATATTATGATACTATTTCCTCTACATAATGTTTCTATACTTTATATTTTATCATACATTTATTGTAAACATAGTAGTTTTGACTTCTGATAGTGTTAATACTAACGTAGACCTTTAGTTTTTTGAGTTAAAAAGCTGACTTGAAGAAAGCTTTTAACTGTGATTAGGTATGGTTTGGTGTGTTTGAGATGACTTTAATAAGGTCAAATCGAACATAGTTCAACTGGTTAAGCACTTATCTCTGATCATAAACGTCATGAGTTAAAACCCTCATCCTCACATGTTGTACTAAAAAATCGCATGGTCCTACTTTCCAGTCGTCTCCCCTTAAGGCTTGAACACGTCACCTACTCGAATTTCTCCCTCAACATTTGACCTCAAGAATTTTCTACCAAAAAAAACTTCTATGGTGGTTATAAACTCAAGAGTTTAAAAATAATTAAATTTTATATATTTGTGAGTGTGACATGGATGCATATGAGATGCGATCTAAAAATATTTTTGGAGAAGTGTAGATAAGGAATATATTCTTTGTGGTGACTTAGTTCTCAATGCTAAATATTTATATATTCATGTGAATATAATAGTAGACATTGACAATAAAATTTTATGGTTGAGAATACATATAAATGAATTAAATAACATGATATGTTCTTTTCCTAGTACATTACTTTTCTTTTGAGGCATAGTTTTTCAAATTTACTCATATTCAAATATGAAAATAATTTAAAATAAATAAAGAACCCGTTTATTCGTACAAGATTCTATGAATCTATCTTGAATTCTATAAAATAATAGCGAAAGAAGTAGAAGAAACTTTTTATTTGGTCAAATTTACATTTAACTTTATTAATTAAATCTGAAAATTTGAATACAATTAGTGTCATTTATTACTGGATCTATTTCTAAATATTTGAGTGAGATTTTTAGAGCTGTGTTGACATTATTTTTTCTAGGTTAGCTAGATTCCGATATTTTGGTGTTAGATTTCACTGTTTCTTACTATTTTTGGACAAAATTTTAGGTGATTTATCAATGGCTTATTAGGTAATCTTTTAGACTGACTTTGAAAAATAAATTAATTTGTATCACTTATTTAAATTCATCATACATAATGTGTATATCCTCCACAGGTTGTGGTTCGAATCACATTTGTGTATATATATATATATATTTTGGAAAGAGAATCCTTAGTCAAATAAAATATATTCAATACATATATTTTTTTTTCTTTAAAAAAATTCATTAGATAGATTGCATTTATAAAAATATTTGTGAATATAAAATAATTGGTTAAAACACACCTTTGATACGTCTCATTTCCCTAAGGTAATGATTTAGTCCTTAAACTTACTTTGTATCGATTTAGTCTCTAAATTTTAGTATGTAACAATTTAGTCCCTATAATTCAAAATTTATAGCAATTTAATTCATAATTGTGAAAAATCTCATCAAAATTAAGTGTTGATTTTTATGATATAATAATTTAATCTTTGTAATTTATAAAACACATTTTGTGCATCATCGATTTATCGATTTACATATATAAGAAACTTAACAAAAAAAAAACCCCCACAATAAGAACTATTTATGCAAAAAATGTGACGAGATATGACCTAGTCAAGGTCGGCCACGCGGAAGAGTTGGAGTGTCCTTGGGGAAGGAATGACCTGCACAAGGGAACAAATACTCTGATGCTCAAGTCAGTTTGAGTTCGACCGAGCTAGAATACGATACTGACTGAAGAGTGAAGTGCCCTATTTATAAGTTGAGGTACTCGACAAGGAATCCGACATGTGGTTGAGCATGTTGGGACTAAGGTCGGTCTGTTGTGGTTCACATTGTCATCAGAAATTTGACTAAGTATGGAAGGTCGTTCCTCCCTTGAATGATCTTCAGGGAAGACCTTCAGGTCGGCCTTAAGGAAAGACCTGAATGAGGAAAGACCTGAATGAGGTCGGCCTTTAGGCAAGACTATGATGAAGTCGGCATTTATGGAAGATCTTCAGGTCGGCCATTTAAGGTTGGCCACTCAAGGAAACACCTTCAAAGTTGGACCTTTTTCTATCCTCGTGGCAGTACGATTTCCATCCCAAACAAAAACTAAATCATTACAAACTTCAAAATTACATAAACTAAATTGCTACATACTAAAGTTAGACTTGACCAAGAAAATTATACTAATCACCCCATTAACTTGATATTAGTATCAATTATCAAATATATTTATATTTTTTTGAAAAAAATAATAATTAACTTATATATCGATTAAGACGACCACAATAAATACATATTATGCATGACTTTTTTCATTTTCATAATTATTATTTTAAAAATGTGATCTTTATTATTATTTATATTTTTAGGCAGCACTTTTTCCCCAAAAAATAGTAGAAAACAAAAGAGGCCCATAATTTTCAGGCTGGTCCAAATGGATGCAATGGAGTCCAAAGGCCCACTAAATAGAAACCGTAGGTATTATATCATTTTCAAAGTAATTTTCTTAAAAAAGAAAAATAAATTTGATTAGAATGTATAATTTTTAATTTATTAATCGTGCTATCTTTCTTATTAGATTAGGTATTTAATCTCACACGGTTTAATTATTATGACAGTTTTAAATTTGGATATCGTAGTCTAAAATAATGTTTGAAAAGATATAACAACATGGTATAAAACTCTCGTAGCTATATGTTTTTTTTTTAAAGTATATGTTTTTTCTATTAAAAAATTTGACTTATAATTTTCCATTTGATTTTATTTAAAAATAAAAGTTTGAATTTGAATATGTTAAAATATAAAGTCGTGATAACATGTTATTTAAAACAAACCAATTATCGTACCTCATTTAATAAAAAATAGTAATGAAATAATTTTTGACGTACCCAATAATTTGAAAAGTACTAAGTTAAAAGATTATTTTCAAGCTTTTAAAAGTTAGGTCGAATTTACTTTAAAACAACAAAATATTGAGTAACAAACTATTGGTGGAAAATATGAGAAGAAAAAATTTGACAAGGAAACAAATAATGTAGTAAAGTTTGTATTTTTTTTCCTTAAAAAAAATAATTAATTAGGTAATTAGCTCACATAATTATTCACACATATTTACCAGAAAATTCTTTTCACTATAAAAAATTTGGTGAAGTTAATTTTTTTCATTTGTTAGAAAAGCTAAATTAAATTGATTTAAGTGAAAATGGTATTATAAAAATACAACTTTATGATCTTTAAAAAAAATATAATCTTTACAAACGACAGACTTGCTTCTTTAATTACAACGAATTTTAATATCTTTTAGTCCTATATTTTTTATTCCTAAAAAAACAATCAGATCTATTTCTTTTATCTAAGACCATACCATAACAACATTAAAAAAAAAAAGTTAAAATTATTCTAAAGAAAAAAGAAAATAACAAAAAGAGTCATTAAGTTGCCTCGATAGAGTAGACTGATTGATTTATTTATTTTAAAAATTTTAAATGTAAGCTTTTAGAAGAATCCGAAGTTTGGAATTTTTTTTCCCACCCACAAAGTCACGAAATTAGATTTGTTTTTACTTAAACATGATTCGATAATTGACTTTTAACAAGAGAAAATATGCTTTAAGGATTTAAATTAAGAGTATTTGAATATTAATGGAGAATATAATTGCGGAAAGCATAGTTTGATATTTAGAAAAATTATTCTTTTGATTTTTAAATTCGTGATTTTTTCCCTTAATAATTTATGTGGATTGGATTATCAGGTAAAAGGAAAGATATTTATTTTCGTAGATGCTTTTTTTTTTTTTGGGTTAAATATATAATTTTGTTCCAAACATTTGTGCCATTTTTTCAATTTCGTTTCTATTTTTTTTTTCAATTTTAACACAATAATAATTTGTAAATTTAAGGAAAAATTGCAAAAACCGACCCTACACTATAGAGGAGGTTGTTACGATAATGATTTGTAAATTTGAAAACCATGTTATTGCGTGAGAGTTTCATCGTAAAACAATCCTAAATTTTGGGTCAATCGTAAACAACGATAAAACTATATTTTATTAAATTAAATTATAAATTATCCCTAAATTAAAATTAAAGAAAAAATAGTCATTCTCAAATAATGTCACGTGTATTTCATTGGCCCCTTGAATTGGATTTAATTAATCGAATTGGGTCCTATAAAATTAGGCCCAAAATAGTTCACAAGTCCATTAGATGTTATTTGATCCGAAACTCAAATTAACATAAGACCATTTTGGTGGATCGATAGTTAAATTTGAATAAGTCTAAATCCACTAAAAGAATTGGTAATTAATGAGTTGGGTCCAAAATCACCCAAGCACAAATCTTATGTGGAAAACTCTATAAATAGAGGGGCAGGCTCAGGAGTTTACAATTCAGATAATTCATGCATTAAAATTGAAGGCTTTAAGACTTTCGTATAAAACTTTAATCCAAGTTTAAGAAAAAGAATATGATGATAAAGATTAGAGATTAAATTTACTATACAACACATGCAACAAAATCAAAGTTCAACCCCACGAATATGATTTCTAAATAAATCTCGTGTGAACAACAATTTCATAATTTAATATCATCAATTTTGCAATATTTAAGAGTTTAATTGAAATAATTTCCTAAGTTTTTCAAGGGTGTGGTTGTTACCATCCCCATAATTTATGAGTGCTTTTTGCAAATTTCCCAAAATTAAAAGAAGGGGAGATCATACATTGGAGGATTATTGTGATTAAATTGAAATTAATGATAAGAAAAGAATAAGTTGACTTTGAAACATTTATATAGAATAGGAAAACCTAATTTTACAAGACAATATTGTCAACTAAGATTTTAATAATCAAGAAACCTAATTCAGACCTAAGGGTGTGGACAGCAAGA